GTGATCAAAGGACTTGATTTAGAGATAATAGATATCGAGAATGAGATATCTACCCTCCAAAACCGCCTCCGACTTCTTCAACGACGGAGAGCAAATCATGCCTCATATATATCCTCCTTAAGACGCCTCCCACCGGAGATATTGGTCGAAATAGTATATATGTGCCTCTATGGTGGTGTAAATATTACCACATTAACGCAGATATGCGGAAATATTCGCGATGCTATAACCGGGATGTCGTCTCTTTGGAGTCACATCAAGTTAGTACCCCCGAAGGGTGGACAATATGTTTGCTGGGGTTCTACTGTTGAACCAGATAGTGTAGTAACGTTAGCTTTTTCTACAGACTGCTTACGCTAAACTGATAATAGATCTGGATATCCGGCGGAACCACGGAGCAGCTAGAATTGATTCTTACACGTTCAGGGTCTAATCCATTAGATCTTTTCGTCCAACCTCCACTCGATTCCGAACTCCTTGGGCCCATTTTGTCTCGAAACAGTAGGATTAAGTCCCTCAAGATTGTTGATTGGGCAAAGGCCTCTAGACATCCTGCAGATTACGAATCTATTGGAGGCCTCAATATGGATCTGCTCGAGTCCCTCATTCTAAATGAGGTAACATGTGAGCAAGCAGTGACGATCATGGACTTTGCATTACGGTCATCCTACCAGAGGATCCGATTTAACTTGGAATCCCGTACCAGGATCGTAACACCTATCTTGATTAAACACAACTTTATGCAGCGTGTATATAAGTTAGAGTTGGATGCAGGTCAGCAAACTTTTACTGCCCTCTGAAGCCATCACTCACGTTGAACATCAAGACTTGAAAGGGCACATTGACGCCCCAAAGATCAGTCTTCCACAAGCAAGATACATTGAAATATCAAGCAATCAAAATTTATACAATGCTCTAGATCTTACAGACAGTAAAGCGCACACTTTGAAGGGGGTCACCCGGATGCGCGATAGATTGACCGTTATTCCGTCGTCTTTTCCTAATCAGTTGACAAGATTGTTCTTAGTTAGCGTTTATCTGGGCCCTAAACCGGTACAAACTCTCCTTTTCCCTCATTTGGTCGGCCTAATAATGGCGGATGTAACTATGCAAGGGGTACTGGGAGAGTACTTCGAGGCCCCCAGCTTGAAGGTTTTATACCTTTCCGGAGTTGACTTTGACCCTCTCTCACTGGCAAAGTTGCGAGGTAAACATCCATGTCGACTATTTTCCAACAAATCTTTCTTTCAGCGAACCCTGACTCTAG